AATCACTGCGCACATTTACCAAGCTGCATGACTTTATCTTAAGAAAGAGATTTAAGGGTCCTTACCTCCCTCCACACAAAAAGTGAAATAGCTGTATTAGGGAAAAAATGCAAAGTGAATTAACATCTTGATAGAAGTCAACCCTGGGATAATGTGTCATTGCTAAAAATTTTCTGGAATATATGCTTTTTAAAAAAACACATATAACGAATATCAACGTAACATAAAACCAGGTGGGTTTTTTTTCCTTGTTTAACCAAACTGTTTAAACAGTTTTGTTTATAAGCTGTTTGTTTAAGCAGTTCGTTTAACAAAGTTTGAAAATGCCCTACCAACATACAAATTTATTCCCAGAATACTTACTAGTAAAGCTGAATGAACCACTGGAGGGTTGGGATGGTCCAAAAACAGAATAAGACCTGGCAGGCATCCTTGATCCTGAACAATGGCCCGTCTGTTCAAGGGATCAGCTGCTAGATCTCGGAGCTGGTTAACTACAGAGAGTGCATCAGGCTCCTCACTCATAGCAGAATTCATTTTTTCTGCACCATGCGTACAAAATATACCTGCTGGTAAAAAAAAAAACCAACTGTATTACTACTACCACAATACTTACTCTCAATTAAAACACAGATCAGAAAAAGCACAAAGGCACTGATTCATTCTAAGCAAAAAAGAATACAAGAAACAAGGACTAGAATTCATAAAACATGGATGGAGTTGATCATGAATGGATCTTGAAACTGGATCTAAACTTCCTATGCAGAGAAAAGGTATGTTTGGTTAATAAGATTTTTATTTGTTTCCTATATGTAATTTCAGACCAGTCAGCCTCTGTGGGAGTATGTTTGTTTGTATTTTTTACATTACTGACAGATGTTTCCAGGAAATCCATAGTTTTTTCACAAGGCACCCTAGAAGTCTGCAAACATACTTCTGTGTAAACAAATGTAAATTCAAAATATGTATTTTCAGAGTAGCTTTGGCAATCAGCAAATTTTACACCAAAAAAAAACCCCAACCAGAAAAGCCAGCAAAATACTAACATTTCATCCAGAACAGTGAACATAAAATGTTATTCTACATATGTGTGTATAAATATATATATACACACACAAAATAACTACTGTAATGCCATACTTGAAAGCAAAAAGGCTTTTATAGGCTAGGTTTGGGATGTTTTTTTCCCTTTTCACTGTCAATACAACAAGAGCAAGCAGGTCACGCCTCGCTCCAGCTGAAGCCCGAGCCACCAGATCAATTTCAAAGGAGACACGTGTTAGCTTGAGAGTATCGGATTTCGCAGTTGTTTAATAATAACTACTTAACAGGCAACAAAAGCATAAGCTTACTCAGAGAAAATACTGTATCTCGGTGCAAAAAACTAGTTTGTTTCCTCAGATTGATTACCTGCCTCTGCAACTACTGAACACTAACTGTGCTCCTGGTTGTTGCAAAGTACCAGCTCATCCAAGTAACTTTTTTTAAGGCACAAAAGTGCAAGTAAATAAATACATATTGTTAATTTGCTAAATATCTCGTTTTGCCCGAATTAAAATAAAACAAATTAAATTTCTAACATCACTTTAACATCTCTTAACATCATTTGCCAACCAACTACTAGTATACAAACATCATATAGTTTTTTCTCACCAAAGGTTGGCCTTTCAGCAACACAAATTAATCACACTCATAAAAAAAAAAAAAGGCCACAAACATGCATTTGGATTATGATTATTTCTGACATTTTCACAGAAAAAAAGTAATGTTAATCTCCAAGTCATTGCTTCTTCCTTCAGGAAAGACAGTGCTGAAGTGAAAAGTACATGCCAACGATTAGTCTCCAGGCTATTTTTCTTGACTATCTCAAGTCCAAGAGAGATCAATGGGAGATACAGCAGCATATCCAACAAACAAGTTTGTATTTCCAAAGAAAACAATTCAAAACAAAACAAAACAAAAAACCAACAAAACAAAAGCAAAGCAACTCTTGAATATTATTACTTTACATTGTTCACAAAGGAACTTATTCAAAACTTAAAAATCGAGTCAGTTGTGGACCTGGTGCCAACCAAAGTCTCTGAGTTCAAGTTCTGCATCCCAAACACCAGATCATTCCCACAACTCTTTCTATCCCAACCATCTTTTACCTTTTTCTTTCTAATCTTCAAGGAAAAAAAAAAAAAAGCAACCAAATTTTACCCCCTCCTATCCCATTAGGTCACAGTCATCCGAACGGAACCTCCAAGAGAGCTGGAGATGGACTTTTACAAGAGCATGTAGTGATATGACAAGTAGGAATTACTTCAAACTGAAAGAGGGTAGGTTTAGAATGGATATGGGAAAGAAATCCTTTGCTGTGAGGATGGTGAGGCACTGGAACAGGTTGCCTAGAGAAGTTGTGGATGCCCCATCCCTGCAAGTGTTCAAGGCCAGGTTGGATGGAGCTCTGAGTCTAGTGGGAGGTGTCCCTGCTCACGGCAGAGGGGTTGAAACCAGACGACCTTTAAGGTCTCTTCCAATCCAAACCATTCCGTGGTTTTATGTTCTCCCAGACCCTTCTCCATCTCTCCTCAAACGCAACTGCGGGGAGACATTAAGTCCTCACCATGACCCGCAAGAACCAATTTTACGAAAACTCGTCTCCCCCACCCCCGCCGGCGTTTTTTTATTAAAAACATTAAGCTGTTTTAAAAGTGTTAAGAAGTTATCTAGAATTTCGGAGCCGGGCAGAACAGCGAGCCAGGTGTCGGCTCATCTCTCCTCCCCGTAGCTCTGGGATCAAACCCCAGCGCAGGCACCGCAGCTCTCTCTCTCTCCGCTGCCCTGTGCCCCCTCCGGAGCGGCCCGGGGAGGCAGCTCCGCAGCCCCGCACCCGCTGCCAGCGCCGCCCGGGCGGCTGAGCCCGCAGCCCGGCGGCGAACAGGCCCCGCGGCTCAGCTCCCGGCGGAGGCTCAGCCCTGTGCCCCCCCGGGCACCGTGAGCTCCGGGAGAGCGGGAGAGCCTCGGCCGGACCCGCGGCCCTACCCCAGCGCGGCCTGCTCCCCTCCCCGGCAGGGCCCTACCGTCGCAGAAGCAGTTTCCGGGCGGCGGGACAGCTCAGCCCCGCGCCCCCATGTCCCGCGGGGCGGCGCGGCCCGTGAACAGCGGCGGTGAAGCCCGGGAAGAGCGACGGGACCAGCCCCGGGAGGAGCGGCGGGACCAGAGCTCCCGCACCGCCCGCCGGGCCCGCTCTGACCCGGCACTGCGCAGCACGGCGCGCCGCGATTGGTCCAGCGCCGGGCGCGGCTCTCCCCCAATCACTGCGCGCTTTGTTCCTGGCGGTGCGCGATGCACGCCGGGAGTTGTAGTCCGGGGGCAGTAGTCTGGACCCCCCCACCCCCCGGCAGCGACGCCACTCCGTTTGTTTTGGGGTTTTTTTTCCATAGGCAGTCATCTCGAGAAGCTGATTTTGCTGCTTAAGTAAAGTGTAACGTGTACTGTAAAACAATACAGTGTGAATCACCCCCGATGCTGCATGGAGACGCAGTGCCGACTCCCCGTTTGGAAATCCGAAGGGGGTAGTCCCCACCCTATGAGACCCCGACAATTAAATTTGTTTTAAAATAGAATCAAAGAACCATTAGGGCTGGAAAAACCCTCTAACAGCATCGGGTCCAACATCTTGATCCCTTATTGAAGGTTTGGGTTCCCTTGCCCTCCAAGTTTTCCAAGCAAAGGTTTTCCATTTCCATATTCCTCCACTCGTCACCTTTGCCCCTTATTTTGAAATGGTTGAGCAAAGTTCTCAGTAAAGTTTGTAAAGCTGGAAACACCCCCGAAGTAATCCTGAAATGAATTCAGCACGAGGAATCACCCCGAGTTCCCCTCTGCCCCGCAACCCACCCTGCGCCCTCTGACTCCCAGCGATCCCGATCCCCCAGTGCTTCCCACCAGGTTTTACTGGGACACATCCGAGCCACCCAAGGAGCCCCTGGCGGTGCCGCAGCCCGCACCCCCCGGGAACAGCCCCCAGACAGGCACCGCAGCGCCGGCTCGGCGGAGGCGAGGGACGGCCGCTGCCCTTCCCCACCGCCTCAGAAACACGGAATGAATTAGGTTGGAAAAGGCCTCAGATCGCCCGAGTACAACCTATGACCGAACACTAGACCATGGCACTGAGTGCCACATCCAGTCTCTTCTTGAACACCTCCAGGGAGGGTGACTCTTCCCATCTCCCCAGGCAGCCCATTCCGAAGTTTAATCGTCCTCTCTGTGCAGAAATTCCTCCTAATGTCCAACCTAAACCTCTCCTGGCACAGCCTGGGGCCACATCCTCTCATACTGTCAACTAGTTGCCAGGCAGAAGAGACCGATCCCCAGCTGGCTACAACCTCCTCCTAGGTAGTTGTAAAGAGCAGTGAGGTCACCCCTGAACCTCCATGTGGGGAGCGGGAGCGGAACCAGAACCAACCTCACCCCCCCCACACCCTCCCGGGGCCCCGCCCTTAGCGGAGGGGTCCCTGTCACGTGACCTCGCGCGCTGCCCCGCCCCTGCCGGGTATTTCGCCTCACGGCGGGCGCGCTCCAAGTCCCGCCTCCCGCGGGCACGGGCGCGGCCACGATTGGCCAGAGCGGCGCCGAGGCGGCCGCGGATTGGCTGGCGGGGGCGGCTCGCGGGCGGCCGCGCGAGCAGCGGTGAGGCGGCGCGGCGGCGGCGGCGGCGGCGGGTGAGGCGCGGCGGGACCGGGGGACCGGGGGGACAGGGCTCTACTTCCCATGGGAACCCCTCTTGGCGCGGCCGATCCCGGGCGGGGGGCGGTGCGGGGGGGGAGAAGGTGCGAGAGGTGCGGCAGCGGTGCCGCTCGGCCGGCGGTAGGTACAGGCCACTGTCCCCGGACAGGGCCATCCCGCCTCCCGCCGGGAGCGTGGCGGCGCCCGGGACTCGTCCCGGGCGGGGCAGGGCAGGTGCCAGGCCGTGGGAGCGGCTCGGGGTGCCGGGGTCGAAGCGGTCGTGCCTACAGGCGAACTGCTGCGGTAGGGGTGACAGGTCACAAGGAATAGTGTAAATAAAAGATAATCCGGGGAAAGTTGAGGGAAGCTTTTTAAGCAGGCTGTAAAATACAGAGTTGATGTATAGAGAGAAAATGAGCCTTGAGGAGTCTGGTGCTTTTATTTCCCTTTTCTTTAAATTTATGCTCCTTGCTTTGTACACCTTCAGTGATAGTGCTGCCGGGCTCAGGTTCTTCTGCAGTGGTCATAAATAAGTAACTTGCTGGACGCTTGTTTTCATTTTGTTTATCAAGCTGTTGAAATTTCAAATATTGAGCGTGAGTAGATTTTGAATGCTGAAATCAACCGTAGTGCATTGACCTGGGCCTGACAGCGTCAGCAGGACTTCATTAACATTATTTACATGCTTGTCCTCAGGCAGCCGTAGGGCTCTGCAGCCCCTGTGAAGGCAAGACTTATAAAGACTAAATGAAAAGGAATTGTGTCTTTTGATCCCCACTGCTTTTTAGCTAGTTGATAAAGAAAAAAAGAAGGCAGCTGAGTTATCTGCACATCATCTCTAAAAGTTGTAGTTAGTTGTTGCTGAATCGTAGGTAACTTGCTTTGTAGGGGTCACTAGCTAAAATATGATTGCTGTGTGTAGGAACTCAACACTGTTACAAAGAGAGATTTCCGGGGGGAAAATTGGGTATTTTGAATGCTTTTTTTCAGACAAACACACCCTCTTGTTAATCAGATTTGCATGGTGGTGTTTCTTGAAGCTGTAGCAGAAAGACTGGTGTTCACAGCGATTACCGGGGAGGTCTGTCCGTCTGGCAGGGAAGTGTAGGTGTGTGGCTGTGTCCGTATCATGTAATACCACATGGTTTATGGTGAAGGGTTTCAGTTACCTCTCAGTGGTATCGCAGTGCACTGTGCAGGTACGATCTCTGCTGAGCAAAGGCTTTTGATTAAACTAGTGCTGAAACATGGATTTATTTTTTTTTCTCTGTCCTTAGTTGGCAGGATAGGTTAACGTGAGTGAGATGTGATGGATACGGTTTTGCATTCTCAGGTATGCATGATGGGGCTATGTTTTCAAGAAAGCGTTAGCAAGTTCTGTTGCAAGTATGTATCATTTTCAATTTCTCATTTAGATTTCACACGGGTACTAGCTTAGCTAAGCTCTTGATTGTCTCTGCAGTATTCACTGACTTTTGTCTGTCTCTGCATATCTTTCCAAACAGGTGTTTCTGAAAGTTCTTGGGTGCTTCATTATTTGTGGCTTCCACACCAAAAAATAGACCTCTGCTTTTGGCTGTGTGACCTCTGACAAACACATACTTAAGTAACTTGTAACTGGTCTGTGTCAGTTGAGGAGAGGATCTGGTCCTTTTTCAGGAGATTGTTCCTGCCCCTTTGGCTGTTGCTGTGATAATGTTTTGTTGGCTTTATCTTTCTTTATTACTTTTTAAATATGTTTCCTTATGGTTGTAATTTCATTAGATGAGCTTGGTTCATGTGTCAGTCTAAAAGACTGGGGAGATATGCTTGCCCTAGTTCTTGCTGAAATAATGAGGAGCCTGATCTGTTTGATTTTTTGGTGGTGATATTCCTTTGAACCCATGCTTCTTTGAAAATTTTGTACTTCTTTATGCTGTACCCTTTCAATTTAGAGACTAGACCTTTTTCATGCCCTTTTTTATTCTTTATTAAAACTGATCTGCTCCATCAAGCACATTAAGTCATTCTCTTTTATTTTTGTGTGGATATTAAGTGAATGAGAGAAACTTCCTTCAGTAGGAAAAATGTGAATATCATATTTCTTTTTAAGAGTGAGAACTTAATGCTTTGAAAGCGACTTGAACAAATATGGAAAATATACATAAAAGAGTTTCACTTTGAAAGCAGTTGCATCTGATTTCTCTTTCTTTTTCATCTTTCATGTGTAGGACTCACTAGAAAGCCTGGCAAAGGGCTCCTGTTCTTATTTACTGAATATTATGTCTTATGTGTACAGACTCCAAAGCCTTTATATTTATTTAATGAGCATTTTGTAATTTAAAAGTGGTATTATCTCTCAGCTTTGTAGACTTGATATTTGATATGGCAGTATTGAATGAAACCTGCAAAAGTGGTTGGGAAGAGTAGGGGCAAAAGAGAGCTCAAGGAGGCTAAAATGAGGATCCCTACACTTGGAAATGTAGACCTCCTAATTTCTAAACCAGGGAATTCCTGCGTGTTTCCATATCAGAAAGAAAGTTCTTTGGCATTGTTAATTTTGGGGTTTCATTTAAATGAGCCTGTGAAATTCCAATCCCTTTGTGCTTTGTGCAGTGAAATGTAGTTCTTTGTGCTGTTCTTCAAATCTCTTGGTAATCTTGTCTGTGACTGCTGCTTGTGCTTGTAATAGTTTTGCTGAGGCAGAGCAGAAGGACGGATTTTTATACCAATATTACTGTTACTCAGGGCTCTTTATTGTAGTAATTGAGTTGTGGAAATTCTGGGGGAATTCAACTGCTACTATTTTTAGTGTAGGTAGCACCAAGAAAATAGATGATAAATACCACTAAGATCAGTATTTTAAAAGAGGTATTATTACTAAAAGCATTAAAATTTAACTCCTGCTTCTGAAATTGACATGTATACAGAGGAGGAGAGAAAAATTTACTAACACTTCCATTCTTGCTGTCCAGCAGTTTCTTTTGGAATGAACTCTGTCTGTCCTTGGCACATAAACCAATTGTGAAATATCTAAGTTTGGTGAAGAAAGGTGTAATGCAGTATAGCCTGGAAGAAATGAGTAGGAAGTTTGGCTGGGGATAATTCTGTAGAACTAATAATTTTATAAAAATATCAAGCTGATTTACTTAGAAGCCTTTTCCATTTAGATAACAGATTAGCTGGAGGTCGTTCAAACATGGTGGTTTTCCTTAGTACCATAAACTAAGGAAACTAATTCAGGAACTGGGTGGTACTCTGCACTCTTACAGACTGATTTCAGTCACTTTCTGCTGCAGAAGCAGGCAGGACATTCACAAGAGCAAGGCATTGATGACCCCAGTCTTAGGTACTTGAAGTATTTAGGCTATAGAGTTTATAAATATTCATTTTACTGAACTATTTGTTTTTTTCAATGCATGCTCTTTTGTGCTTGGTCATCAGAGTCTTAGAACCTGGAATTATCAAAGGGCACCTTAATGTTTTAGGGCAGGATAGGTGTTTTGGACTATTTCCAATGCTTTGTGTCATCATGCTCCTTTTATTCCTGGATTTTTTGGACCTCACTGAACAAGTTTCTAAAATTCATCACTAATATTTCAGAAATCGCTTTGGCTGGTTTCTGTACTTTGCAAGGTAAAAATCTCTAGATACTGTTGTCCTGGATGTTTATAACTTTTCAGAGCTATCTGTAAACCATTCTACCATCTGTCTGTCTTTTCTACCATCCTCAAGTTAAAACACTGAATATACTGACTATCCATATCTCTCATTGCTTTCTGTCCTCTCCTGTTACATTGTGGCTGTATCTCTTGTCTCTTACTGCCAATAGGTGTGTAGGGCTTCTTTTATGTCTGTAAGCTGGAACCCATTTTGTACCTTAGCCTTTTTTTAGCTTACTACTTCATATTTATACTGTTCTGTCATCCTCATATTATGCTACTTTTTTTCTACATCTGGTTTTATGCCTTTAACTGGTTGTTTTGTCAGTTTTTGTGTTGGTCCTTTACCTCTTTGCCTTTAAATTTCTTGAATTCATGGAAACTTTCTAAACCTGCTCTGGTTTTCTCAGAGAAAGTTCTTAACACTCTCTTTTTACTTCTGTCCAAATTGTTTCTGTTATTAAAGACTGGGGCTTCTCAGTTGATCAGAAACAAAATACAGACCTTTTCTTCACTTCCTGAAACAACACATGACTCTGACTTTGTCTGGGGATTTTTAAACTAACAACCTGGCTATCTGTTGAAAGAGCAGTGTTTCAGGATACAGTAATTCCTTTTAGCCCTATCACTTGCCTTTCTCAGCCAGCCCTGCCTTGCAGTTGCTCAGCAGTACTCTGCCTTTTCTTCTCTTTTGTTTGAATGTCTTGACACAGCTTCCGTTTTTCTTCCCTTTGATTTCCACACTGCATGTTCAACAAGTCTGGACTTTGAAGTGAGGTGGAGTGTGTCACATGTATGATGATTTTGGATCAGGTTTCCCCTTTTAAAGGAGCATTCCTGTCTCTTTTATGTCACTGCATGTCTACAGTGCCAGATATGATGCCAAATCTAATGTGAGGCACCTAGAAAGAGTTGTGTTCTTCCTGTTTTAAGAACGCAGCAGGTGCAATGTGATCAAAGATCCACACAGTCCATACGGTAGGTTGTCTAAGGGAAGAATAGCAGATGCCTAAAGGAATAATAGGTCGCATAGATGGTAATGCTCCCCTACCAGACTTCTCCAGAGTTCCATAGAGAAGTCCATGACTTATTTATTTATGATGAATGACTGTAGCTTGTATTCATGGCTGTTTGGTAGGTAGCCCATTATTCTTCCCTATTGTTTTTCTTATAACAATTGCAATTTCCATTCTAATCTCGTGGTGTAGATTAGTAGTTTCTTCCTAGTTTGTTCAGGAACAAAAGAAAATCATGTTGGGAAATGTATTTTATTATCTGTGGGGATGAGAAACTTAATATCAACTTTTTTTTTTAAGCCTGCCTAAAAAAAGATAACTGAAGAATTGCACTGTTTCTGCCAAGTTTCCACAAGAAGTAGGTTATTACTAAGGAACCACAAACTGTTGAAAAAAAATTTGTAATGGAAACAGTGATGGTTTAACTGTAGGGCTTGTGGGCACTTTCAAACAGCATAGGTTTTCCATCTCCTGGCTTTCCAACTTCCCAAGTACCGGTTCCTTGCAGCTACACTACTTTAGTCATCAGTCTCTGTTCAGAGTGGCTTCAGCAACACTGTTGTTCATACTACAAATATGTTGCTCAGGGTGGTTCAACAGAGCGTTGTTTCCAGCCTGATACACAAAACAAACGTAAACCTAAATCTATGGCTTCCTTTTCTGGTTTTGGTGGCATACACTTCTCAGTGCCATCCAAGTTACGACTGGTGTTGAACACAGTTAAAGAAAAATTATACTATTTTCACTAAAGGAGCAATAAAACCATCTTGATTTAAGTGAATGGAAGTGTATATAAATAGACAAAATTTGAAATCTGTCCAGCTTTATAAACTGCTTGAATATTTTCAATTCCCACATCTACAGTATTTCCTGTCATTTTCTTGCATTAGTCATTTTTCCATGTTTCTCTCCTTAGTTGTAGGAAAAAAGAAGAAACAACAAAGCTGTCAGAGAATGTGAATCAAGTGAGGTGGTCAGCTTTCTGCAGTCAGATCCTGCATAGAAATGAGTTTTAGATATGGTATGGCACTTGAATCTTAGTGCTGATCCCCACCTGCAGGCATTCCATAGGGCTTGATGCTCGCTTAGAGCAATCATTTCCCAACTTTTTAAATGTTAACTTTACAATTGCTTTGATTTCTTTCCAGTACCTGAAGGGGGCTACTAGAGAGCTGGAGAGGGACTTTTACAAGGGCATGTAGTGATAGGAAAGGGGCAGTGGCTTAAAACTGAAAAAGATAGGTTTGGATTAGATATGTACCACTGCAAGGGTGGTGAGGCACTGGAACAGGGTGACCACAGAAGTTGTGGATGCCCCATCCCTGGAAGTGTTCAAGGCCATGTTGGATAAGGCCCTGAGCCATCTGGTCTAGTGGAAGTTGTTCCTGCCCATGGCAGGAGGGTTGGAAAAAGATGATTTTTTTAAGGTCCCTTCCAGCACAGACCATTCTAGGATTCTATAAAAATGACCCTACTGAAAAGGCTTTGTTAGCTGAATTGAGTAAATAAATGCCTTCCGAATGCCTTTGCTTTGCAGTACCAGGAATTGGTGTCATCTAGTATGTCTTGTTTTCACTAACTGTTTCTAGAGCTTTTTTTTTTTTTTAGGAATACATGGAGCAGTTTACTCCTGTGTATGTTCCACAACATGCATCTAAAATTCTTGTGTCTCGTTTCAGAACTACTATGGAACCTCGGCAGCCCCGTAGGTTTGGAAGGCTTAAATTCAAGTTTGGAAAGGCCTTTTCCATTCCAGATGATTTGCTGGCTTAAGCGCTTAATTAGGATGGCATTTGAACAAGTTGGATTGAAGATGGAATCAGTAAGTGTTTCAAACTTCCTTTATGTTTTCAGAAAATCAGGTATAGAAAGCACTTCGTGTATTTTGGTTTGTGCTTGTCAGTTGTAGCAGGATGCTCAATACTGCTTCTGCATTGCTGGAAAATCATGAAGTTTAGAGCTTGGACACTGAAGTATTCAGTAATGTATGTGTTAAAAGAACTATGCAGTTCCTTCTAGCCCTAATAATAAACTGTTTGCTTTGTAAACACTGCCTTTCATGCTGGACTTCTGTGTGTGTTTTGAAGCTGAAGGAGAACTTCCAGTGATAAAAAAACATATTTCTTGCTCTTCCCTTGGAGATACAAAAAGGCCCATGAAACTGAGATGGTTATAATTGTGCTTTATTTGCCTCTTCTGAAAGTGCGACAGCACATGAGAGCAAGACAGCTGTGTTCTGTGCTGGCTGAACAGAGGAATGTGCATGCACAGCTCTCCTCTTGGAGGAAAGTGTGTACATAGTTTTCTTTGAATGCTCAGGAGAGAGAGAGAGAGCTGCTATACATCAACTGCTTTGTCACTGGGACCTTTAGGAAGCTATTTTGAGTACAAATGTTGGCCTCAGTGCAGTAATCCCTGTAAGTTGTTAAAATATTTTAATGTTTTAACAGTGGGGAAATCCTTAACAGCTATGTGCAGTACTTTGTATTATTGTGCTAGAACTTTTTATTGGTGTTAGGAATTTACGGATAGCAAAATTAGCATTGCAAATTAAAGTTGCCAACAAGAGTCTGTATTTGGGGATTTTATTTGAACTTTGATCTGAGATTTTTATGTAACTTTAAAAATTCAAAGTATAAGAATATGTAGCATTACCATGGGTGTTGCTGCACAATTCAGCAATTTCAGCCTAAATAGGGAGAGGAACAAGTTTTTAGTCTGTTTCCCACCATTCTCTACTTATATCAAGCTTGTGATAATGCAGTTACATTTCCAAATATCAGCTGTTCTGGGCAGCAGCAAAACACTGATGTAATAAGAGTGTATGACTAAGTAATATTTTGCAGACTTGCTCTGCCAGTGCTTCAAGTCAACAAGAAGCTGTGTGAACTTGGTTAGAGCAGTGCTGAGACTGAGTAGCTGAGCTGAGCAGAGCACTGACTTTCCTTGCAGATGTTGTGGCATGGCTTGCATGAAAATATTGTCCTGGCATGTCTTGAGTTACCAGAACTGGGTCATTTGGTGCACCAGGCCACTGTGGTTGAAGAGCCCTGAGGGCATTTGGGCACCAAATATTTTTGAGTATCTGGGTGCTAGTCACCATCTTGTCTGTGGTCTGAGCAATCTCTAAACAAGTTTTGCCACTTGTTTAAAATGCACTGCACTTACGTTGGTAAGACAGCATGTGGTCTGAGCTCTCTTGCTGTTGTGGAAATACTTCTGTAATTAAGCCTTCCCGTGACTGGTATTATTTTTTCCAATGCCATATCACTTTGAGTCTATTGCCGACACTTCTGCTTCAGACACCAGAATCAGTTGTATTACTGTGGTACTGTTTGTCAGTGACTTTTTCTTGAAGGCCACTGATCTACCTGTTGTTTGCTCAGACACAAACAGTCATGTGATGATCACAAACGTGAGGTCTTTGTTGGGGCAACCAAAGTGCAGAATCAATACTCTGCATTGAAACATTTGTGTTCAGACCTAGCAGAGTATTGAGCAACAGGATGTATGTTTCATTGAGTGAAAAAAATAGATCTGAGTGGATTCATGGCAAAGTTGAGGCCCTGATGTATCTAGAATAGCATATGTGCAGTGCACATTTATTTTGTCAACATTTTTATATCCTCTTAAAGCCAGAGGAGGGAAAGATACTTGCTTAGAAATAGGCAAAATGTTTGTGTAAAGTTTCTGAGGTAGTCTGGGGATAAATACCAGGAAGCATAAACTTTTCTTTGTAATAGAACCTTCAACATCTAAGACTAGTGATCTTTGCTTAGTGTATCTGCTGTAACTAGTTTAGCTGTGTGTTGAGTAACTCCCACGGCTGTGCTACAGTGCAATACAGGCAATATTGCTGTGCCAGATAAGGGTTGTTTCAGTATTAATAGCCTGGACTTTATCTAAATGTTCACTGTCAGGCAACCTTCTAACAGGATGTTGAGTTTGCTTGAAGCTATGAGCCTTTAAAATGTCTCAGTGGTAAATTCATATTTACAGCCATAAGTAAACACTGGCCAAGTTTTTAAATTACCATACAGTGTTCTAATTGTTTACTAACAATGTACCCTGTGTTAGAGTCTTCTCATTATTCTTTTTCTTCTTTGCATTGTTTTTGTTGCCTTTCCCTGTGCTGAAATCTTTCATACCTCTCTCTGGTACTTTTTACTTCTATTCTGGTTCATTTCGAAGTATTCTCCTAGGATCGAAGTCTCATTTTATTTCATTTCATGCAATTATGATAAATAATTGAGCAAACATTAAATGCAACAAAAGAAAGCAAATTTAATCCCCATTGAAACAATGTGGAGGAAATCTAAATTGCAGAGTAGAAACAGTTCTGATGAAGCAAGGTGTGTTGAGGTGCCATGGGGAGTTTTCTCTAGGTGAATGTTTGAGTGTGATTTTTTAGGACAAGGTTTCTTTCTTAAAAAATTTCATTTTCTTTTCCGCTTTTTATTTTCCTTTGCTCTTTAATTTCACAGTTACATTTTCGGGTTTATTATAGTTGATAGTTATTTCTGGTAAGACTGGTGGATGCTATTCCTGTTGTAGAACAGCTCTTAATTAAAAAAGAAAAGAGATATTTTGGGACAGGTAGAATTACATAACTTTATGGAGTTTTCAGTGATTGAGTGTCTTATCTTGAAACCCCATTAAAAGAGCTGTCTGTCCTGATGTAGATTCTTTGTTGTCTTGAAAATCAACAAATTATGTTTTTGAAGAGGCTTCCCACTCTTGAATTCTTCTGTGTTACCTGATTTATTGCTTTGAGTTTAAATTTAATGCAAAGTCTGTCTTGACCTTAAGCAGCCATAGCTATATTGTAATGACACAAAGAAATCTTGTATCAATTCAGGTATAGGATGTAAGGAGTTCACCGATACAGATTTCAGTGTATATATGTTGTATTCTATTCTAGCATGAAAGGAATAAGTAAATCACAAGCATAGTATTGAAGGATAAAGGAGAACTATTACAATATGATATAAAAATCTGTTCCCTAACAGCTGGCTTCTTTTTTCTTCCCATCCAGGTGCTTTGGTCAAGCAAACCTTATGGTTCATCTCGAAGTATTGTGAGAAAAATTGGTACTAACCTCTCTCTTATACAGTGTCCAAGAGTTCAGTTTCAGGTATGTGTTCTCAACAGTTTAAAACATGTTTTTATAGTGTTTCACTATACTGACTAGAAGGTTTGTAAAAGCAGAATATGATAAACTAGACATAGGAGAATTAGCCTACTTCAGTTCTTTCTGCTTCCAGTTCAACTGAATTGAAAAAAATACATTCATAAAAGAGAATGTTTTTTGAAGCTTATTTCTATAAACAATACTTACAAGCTAGGCTTAAGAGGCATGTAAAGATGAACAGTGTTAAAAATATTTGGGAAAATGAACAACTTTATCAGAAAGTAAAACATTAGTAATAAGATAATACAAGTACTCTGCTTTTGTTTAAAATACAAGGCTGTGTAGGTGAAAGGGGAGGGTAAAGAGCAAGGGTAAAAAGCTGAAGGAAGAGAAAACCCATGCTCTTTATAATGAGTCTTTCAGGAACAGATGGAAAAGTGGAAGCTGTTACACATAATCTCTTCAACTCTGTGTGTGTTAGGGGTAGGGGGTGGGTATAGAATTGGAAAAATTTAGTACTTGAAACTCAAGTTGAGAGGAATGTTTCATGGGCTGAGCAAGGACGGGAAGCATAACTATGAATGGAGGGAATCATCTACCCCACTAAGATAAAGTAATTTCCACACAGCTAAATTTTTCAATGTTTAAATTAATTTCTTTATCCTAAATGACATGTATGAACAATGTTTAGACTTGAAATTACAGTAGCAAAACTAGATAGTTAAGATTACCATAGAAGCCTTGTTGTTGTCATGGTAAAGCCGCACTAACATTTTGCCTCTCTTAAATAAGTACATTGAGAAACGGGGGTGGGGAGGGGCAGGCATCTCACATTTATAGTGGCTTGGTGAAACTTGAAAAATAAAAGGGAGGATACAGGAATTTGTGCAGGTGAGAAGGGCAACAAAAGGCATGCTGGATTTAAACTTTAGAAGTACTAATAGTAGTAGTAGTAGTTTTGCCAGCAATAGGGCTGCCTGTGCCTCGGATTTGAAAGGAAGTGAAGTCCTCCCATAATGTGTCTGATTTGCTGTATTGTAAAGGCTACACAAGGGAAGATGATGCTCATATGCAGATAGTTAGCCAAATACTACCTTCTCTTAATATGGTACATAAAAGAAGACATTTCTGGTTTATGGCCTTGCAAAGAACAGTAAGATATATCTGGTGAATCTGTTCCTGAATATTTTTATTGTTTAAACAAATAAATAAATAAATGCATATACATGTTTTGGTCTGAATTCTGTTAAGTATAATATTTGCATTTTTTTCCTCTTAAAGAAACATTCAGTCAGCTTTGCATGGACACTAAAGTATAAGCATTCACCTTCTATTAGATGAAAGGAAAGGATCCCAAAAATAGAAGTACACTTGTCAGAGTTGATTTAATTAGAAAAAGGAATTTCAAAATTTGAGCCTTGAAACACATTAAAAGTTATGTGGTTTATGGAAACTTTAAACTACTTTAATATATAAACTGGTGAACATGTAACTGTGATGCTAACATCTGTTTTTTGTGTCTTTATCTCAGCATTAAAAGTTCAATACTGATCTTGATCATTTTCATGCTGTTGCAACTGACACTTTCCTATAGCTGTCTCTTCCTCTTTCTTCCTTGCCAGCTTTGGCTATTTTCTGAAAGGACCATGCACTGAACCTTGCTGTAAGTCACTTTATCTGAAAAAACAAATACAAATCTTACTTGCTTTATCTGAGGGTGCATGTATGTAATCACTGTTTCTAACCCCAGAGCAGCAAACTGACCACAAGTCTTCATTTTCTTTATGATAAATGGATGAAAGATACTGAATGAGTATGTCTCTAATGTTCATACTTATCTTCTAGAGTGCATTTGTTCAGCTAGTCTGGAAAAAAAAAGAGTAGTGGCTTAAAATTTTGATGTTTGAGGTCTGCTGACTGTTCTGTCTCTGGTTCTTGCCATAGTATGGATCTTGCCGTAGTAAACATTTAAATTAATTGCTAAATGCTGCTTAAGTGTTCAGTAAGAGGCGGCAGAGCTCACCTTACTACTCTAAATGGTTGATACAGTTCTTTTGTATGGCATATATTTTAGGTTTATTTGTAGTCTTTAGGAGAAAATAAACTACCCAGTATAGTCTAGGTGGATTCAATCAAACCTACAGTAGCGTCTCTGAAGATTGTATCCTTCAGCTACAGCTTCTCTGTTTTAGTCGCATGCTTCTCCTGTCTGTTTGGATACCTCATAACTCAGTAAAGGCTCCCAAGGAATTGGTGCGCATGTAGCAAACATCTGAATTTACTGGGCTAATTTGAAAAATCATAGCAAGTTCGTCTTACTTGAAGAAATATTTCCAAATGTCTAACACATAACTGTATTAGTAGTTTGAAACTAGAGGTTTTTATTCTGTTCTTAGAAGTATAAAAGCATCTGTTCTACTTTGCACTTTATGGAGCAAACAGAAAGTGGGGATCCTGCCCTGCCCTGTCCCCCAGCAGCGTTTCCGTAGTGTAGTGGTTATCACGTTCGCCTCACACGCGAAAGGTCCCCGGTTCGAAACCGGGCGGAAACACTGGCGAGGCTGGCTCTTTCTCTGGGAGTCGGACTCGGTGATTCTTTATGCATCCGTTCCAACTCAGGATATTCTGTGATTCTGTGACAGTCAAAACAGTGCAGTGTGTGTCGTGTTCAGAAATTCGTGCTGGGTCTGAAACCCCCAGGCTTGTGTGTCTGTGTGGGCAGCGTATGAGCACACTACAACCGGCAAAAAAGCCTGTGCTGAACAAAGTGGGGGAAGCAACTGTGTAGTTTGCAGAGAAAGAAAAGCAGGCTACTTCACTGATTCTTTCAGTTCCTGCCTTCCAGTAGAACTGGGACTCTGTTTTCAGCGCTCTGTTCTCCATTTCAGGTACTGGCAGAGCAGTTGTCTGTTCTCTTCACCTGGAATTGACTGGAGGAATAGGGTAGTCACAGAGTTGTTTACAGGCAGGTGTAAAGAGATGGATGTTGGCTTTTAACCTTTAAATTAAAGCAAAAAGCTTGCATTAACCTAAATTCAAAATCTAGTGCTGCGGAAGGCTTTGTTGTTTTAAGGGATAGAGAAAAGAAACCTCTGTATATGGGGTAACAAGCAGATTCTGCTTATATATAAATATGAATAAAAAAGTAAGAAGAAACTTGTAATATAACAGAAGGGTTGCTCCTAAATGTTGGATTAGAAGTTATTTATCTCAGAGTGCAGGAAATCTGGCAGTGATAAATGTATTTCCTTACTGTTGATTTATAAAATTATATTTGATTCAAGTATGTGTAGTGCCTTTATTTAAATTTGGCTTCAGTCTTTTAATGGTAATAGTTCCTCATGTGGCCGTTACTGTCAGGAAGATCTGCATCACCTGCAAGAAGTGGCTGAAGAATTAAGGATTTTTAAATTGCCATTAACATTAATACAGATGTGGCAGTCATGAAAATTTCAATTTATTTTTAAAAAGAAAAAACCAAAGAAACCTCAAACAGCAAAAATCCTAACATGCAATATAGTATTCTCTAGACTGTTTTAAAGAGAGGCAGACTGTAATGGTATTAGGCACAACTGTTAATGTGAAAAACATATTACCATCTGTGCTGATGCTACCTGGAAAAAACCCTGTTGTTTCCAAATGATCTGACGGTGCCAATACACACTCCTGGGAGCTGTGATAAAGGCTAACGTACAAGTTGTGCAAGTGTGAGGTGAAGATGACTAATCTCAATTTCTAAAGCTGTTTGTAACAACTCCTTGGGAGGAAAACAGCCTCAGTTCCACAACTTCTTTCTTCCTGGGACTTGTGTATCAAAGGCTACAACTAAAGTATATATGGATGTTCTTGAGAAATGGTTTCACCGCATCCAGACTGCAGTCCTACTGTGATGGGTCTGCTACAAATTCAGATTAATGCCAACATTTTATAGTTGCTGCTACGTAGTAGTTTGCCCTTACAGAGAGGATTTGCCTTGAAAATTAAGTGCTAATGGGCTGGATCCAAGCTGCCTTCACAGACTGGTACCTACTACCACCAGCTCTGTCAGTATTCCCAGCTATTGGCCCTCTGCTAGCTGCAGGCAGCACTTGAACAGCTGCAACCACTCGTGCAGATTTGGCTGTGGATTTGGGTGTAGTGTTGGGTTAACAGGTGAACTTGATGATCTTAGAGGGCTTTTCCAATCCTTACAATTCTGTGATTCTATATAATACAAGAAAAGAGGGGATATGGTTGCATTGGAGATAGCTAACTCAAAGTACAGACTGAGCAGAAGAAATTACTGAAAATTGGTTCATCAGCTTTTATCTGCTGAGGTACTGAGCCCAGGCTGCTCAGGGGTCCAGTGACTGTGCACACATACCCTTGTCTAACCCAGGGAAGCAGAATTTCAAAACAGATTTGAAACCATTTTGTTGCGTTGTGGCTGTGAAGCGGGTACTAACGGTCTGAGCAGTTTTTCAAATCTCGCTTTACGTCACTTAGCTGGAAGTCTAAGAAAGGTTCCAGTCTCTGGAGCCTTGCTCACCTTTGGCTTCAAACAGCTGTAAAGCTAATGGCCAGAACCATGCTGGAAAACGGTCAGTTTGTTTGGCATGTTGTAAATAGGATTGTTAGCAAATAGTGTGTAACGTTGTGATTGCATCCTACCTCTCACTCAGTCTCTGTGATTACTGAGCTAGTAAAAATGGCTTTTTTGCCTGGTTTTGGCGTTTGTTCAGTTTGCTTGCTTTTCCTGTGCAATGTACTTACTTCTTGTACAGAAATTTTGGAAGTTGGAGGGAAAGGGAAGCTTCAACAAAATTTCACTTTCAAAATAATACTAAATCAGAGCAAAAGACTTAAGAAGTAGTGGTAGCTTTAATGTCTTTTTTAACGACTGGTCGTGAACGTAATTTAAAAACATATTGTTAGAGTTCATATAGCAAACTGTGGGAGAATGTTGATACTTGTTTGTCTTTAAGGTAACAATTTGCCTTGGATTTTTAGTGTTCAGTAGTGTCATGTGATAGTACCTGAACCTCTGTAAAGTGTTCAGCAGACTAGATTGAATAGTTTGAAGTCAGTGAAATAGTTCTGGACCAAGCCCAGGACAGAAAAAAGTGTGCTAAGGCTACAGATGTGTTTGTGCATGTATGTGTTAATAGCGACATGTAGTCTCAGTAGAAGTATCAGGTAAAATAACTGTGGCACGGGCTGGGAATGTTGACTCTAAGGCCTTCAATCTTGTCTTTAAAATTTAGCTTATTTCTCATGTCACGGAAGGAAACCGTCCTGCTCAGTTTAGAGAAGATGCAGTGGCCTCCTTTGCAGATGTGGGATGGGTTGCTGAAGAAGAAGGAGAAGTCTCTACAAGGCTCAGGTATGTTTCTCAGATCTTCTCTCTGAACTCCTGAACTGAGAGGAAGAAACCTCAGTTCTCTCCAATGAGAAGCTGTTGCGCATTGCAGTTAACTGAGAGCACTTGAATGATGGGAGAAGAGAGAGGGAAGAGCCAGAGGCAGGGTCCTGAAAAGAAGTAGTAGAAGTTAGACTAACAGGGTTGTGAAAGAAGGACTGGTTTGAAAATATACAGGAGATTGATTTTATAAAAGGAAGACTGTGGGGTTTATTTATTTATGTATTGCAAAGAGTTCCATGCAGTAGCTTCAATCATCCTTGTCCCCCCAAAAATGTCTGCTGCAGTATGACAATTGCTAACACTGGTTCTCCAGCTCTGAGATACGGGGCAGTACTGCACAGCTTCCTCATTAGCAGCAATGGTCATTTTGACAGTCCAGTAATTAGCACGTTGTTTTTCACCTTTCTAGCTAAGGCTCCGCAGTCTGTTAAGTACAATTGTAAAATTGTGGTTGGTGTTTCATCTTTAACCTTCATAAAGAAAACTGGCAGGGAGACGTGAGCACGTGTGTCCAGAGTGGTGGGACAGGTACTGTTGTGTGGGACCAAGGGTTCACTGTCACTGCATGAAACAGGTTGGCTGAAGGGATAAGTTCTCTATTCCATCCTACTCAAATTGCTGCTCAGATTAGCCAGGGACAAAGGTGCAGTTCTGTAGCGCAGAGGAGCTTTTTGTTTTAAATAAACTAACCTTCCAGAGAAGGGCAGAGATTGCTGGCTTCAGAGATTACTGGAGGATACTGTTCTTAATTTGAAAGCATGAAATAGGTTAGTAATGACTTAGATGCCCTCCAACATGACTTGTTACAGTGAAGCTTTGCATAACAAACATTCTGGCACTGCCCACATTCATTTCACAGAGGGGAGTCACAGAAATCAACACTTGTTTGGGAAACACTATTTGTGAAGTCCATTTGATACAAAGGAAATTAACTGCCCAATACTAGTTTTGTTTGCACAGAAACATCTTGTTTAAGGACTGAACTGTAAAGTTATTATGTTTAATGGAGACAACAGGCAGAATAGCTCCTTGGTGCTTCCAAGAACCTATTACGAAAGATGCAGGACTTGCATGTTTGCTGAAACGTCTGCCTGGGAAGCGGGGAAGGGGGACAGATGGATGTGGGATGGCACTAAAATAATCCTGCAGATATATAGTGACCTTGAGGCAAACAGCTTATAATGGAGCATGTAAGTGAATTACTTAGCAAATAGGAGTATTTCAATGTGCACTGTTTATTATGTCTGTGCACAGCATCAGTAGTGGAGCTAGTATACATTAGGTGTTTTCCAGGCTTTTGAAATTCTGTTTCAACAAGATCACATAGGTGTTACTGTTAAATATTTATTCACAGTATAATTCAGTAAACAGTCTTGCAGACATTGTTTTTTTCTATGAATGCAGTTTTGGAGAGGAAGCAACTCAGTGACACATCATTTTTCCCTCAGCCCTAGTCAGAGCAGTAATGACAACTCAGGCATAATATTTTTCCACAGTGTTAGATTCTAATCGAGACATTTCCTTAAAACACTAAAACCCGCCTTATAGAAACTTTAAAGGAGCAGAATAGCTAAATAAAAAAGGGTATTTTTTGCTCAGAGCAGTAATAAAGAGCGAAGTGACCGCTGGCTCCTTCCACCTTAGGGAGAGCAGGGAGGTGGCTGCTGTAGGAAGTATCTTGTTCTCAGCTTTAGGTGCTCTCCATTCCTGTCTAGGTAACAACACCTAAATTTTATCATCCCTGAAAACATTCAATTCTCTTTGATCAAATTTCTGCAAGTCATGCTGATGTTTTCTGTCAGTGTCGTAGAAGACTCAAATCTGTATCAACTCCTGGTTTAAGGTGGGAGTTATTTCTAGCTTTAATCTTGGCTCTTGCTTTAGGTCTAGCACAACTGCAGATTTAATGTGATGAGCATCCACAGCAGCTTAATCCATGCATCCAGAGCGATGGGGCACTAGGGCTGTATTACTCTGGAGCCTCTCTACACATTTGAAAAAGTCCTATCACCAGCCCCCATTTTTACTCTCATGTTTGAATAAACAATGGAATCCTGACACGCCTGGGAAGTTTTGGGATTGAAGTTAAGGAGGATTAAGGAGTTAAGTAATGTGGTCATATTTTGCAGTTTTAATGTTTATGATAATTTGTTGTCATCAATCCCTATCAGTTCCACTTACAGTGTCATGAATCGTTTGTATTGGAAGGTACCTTTAAAAGCCATCCAGTCCCAGCCCCCTGCAATGAGCAGGGACATCTTCAACTCAATCAGGTTACTCAGATATTGAGATAAACCATTTTAAAACGTTGGTGTCTTTTAAGGGCTTATTTGACTTACCTGAGCAGTTTTTCCATAATGCCTCAGTGTTTAACATGGCTTGAGCTTTGGTGGGTAATAAAGGAAGGCAGCAGAGTTGCATTATCTTGTGAGAAGAGGAGGGAAGGTCATGGACTCTTCAAAACTGTAAGACTTCTTTTTCTATATAGTTCTAATTATTTTGTTAGGAAACTAGATACATGACCCTTGCCCATCTACTGATAAGCAGCCTCTGCATCACTAAGCTGTTTCACACACTCCATATTTCCAACATTGCTAGACTTGGGGATTGTCCCTTCAGAAGTCAAAGAAGTACAAAAAATACTCTGTGAAACTAATAAACTCTTCCTACTTCAAAGGAATCAATAAGTGACTGTTTGCAGCCCATGGGGGAAAAATGGTGGCATTTGGGGGCCAAAAAAAAATCTTAATTCCAATAAAATATGCAATAGGTATGAAATAGAGAAATAGATTAGAGTGAGGGGGAATGTATTCCTTTTTTCTTATGAAATGAAGGATTCTACAAAAAGCTGGCCTGGGAAGAGAAGAAATACAGGTAGTGATGCAAACAGAAAGGACCAGAAGCTCTTATTCAGTTTAGGCTCCACAAGGTGTTGGTGGAAGTGATTTGTGTGAAGAGATTTTTGAAGTCAGGTCTTCAGCTTGTATTCCGAGTTTGTAGGTAACGTTGCTTTAGCTTTTTATCTATTACAAAGCCTTTAAAACAGCTTGTGATGTCTTTGTTACAGATCAGAAGTTTGGTCACAAACAGCCCAGCCTCCCTCAGGGGAGCCACATCATTCCGGGAGGTCTCCACGCAGACAAGTGTCCTTACAAAACCCGCTGGAAGAAGAACCAGTGCCCAGGAGCGCAGTGATGGCAAATGAAGAAGCACTGCAGAAGATCAGTGCTCTAGAAAATGAACTGGCCACTTTAAGAGCACAAATAGCCAAAATTGTAACCTTGCAAGAACAGCAGAACTTGACAGCAGGTATTAAATTTGCTGTACTCTTAGCAAAAATTAGTTAATGGATTTGTCCCTTTTTTAATTAATACTGTGCTAATTCATTTTTGTGACATAACTGCAACACTGAGCCCTTCTCCATATTGTTTTCGTTAGTCTGGTAGACAGACGAGGCACACTAACCAAGAGGTACAGAACAGGTCTTGAAGACAAGCGACCTGACAGATTTTCTGTATTTTCTAGTATTCCAAAAGTCTTCATGTCTGTTAAGCCTGCCAGAGTTCTGAATCTGTGAATGAGAGAAGTAGTATTAAACAGCTTTCAGAGCAAAGCTCATGATAAACATGATGGCTTAAACCAAACTAAAAGGATGTTACTTAATTACTAGCACTGAAGTCTTTCCATTCAGCCATGAAATAAGCTCTCTGGTATCATTAAGTATTCATACAAGATGCTAATTATACTTTTGGAATATGTAATGTACGTAACAAGTAACAGAAAAGGCAATTAAGTGTTTACTGGAATCATCTCTGGGATCAGACACATTGTCCATATGGAAGCAGAAGTGGTGCACCATTTCTGGCAGTAAACAGAATAATTCTTTTCCTGAATCTTCTTCCTCTTTCCCTCACCTCTGACTGCTTTCCAGTTTTAAGTCTTCAAAGATTAGTGGGAGATGTCCCTTGTCAACTGCAGATGACAGGCATTTGGTTTTAACTCCTTCCTAAGGTCACTTAGCAAGTACAGTTTTGCCTATGTTTGTGTATAAAATTATATTCTGATTCTTCAGATGCTCTTGTTTAGCTTTTGTCTGTGAACTGAGAGTAGTTTCTTTATCTTTCCTGACCTGCTCATATTCAAAACTATGAAATAGTTTTAAGGATCACATAGTTTCTCTCCTGGATTTTAAAGGGTGGGGAACAGGGGTGTGTGAAATAACTAATAATGTATTTTTTATTTGATTTTATCATCTTTACTTCCCTCTTGTGGTAGAACGTGGTAATGGCATTATGCCTTTGCCAGCACGTAAACAGAAGACTCGTCTGTATCGTCTGTCTGTACATACCTTCACACACGTTATAACCCGAGCTTCAAAACTCTGGTTTTGTATGGTTTTCACAATTTCTTTAAACGTGCATTTGAGCAGAGGTATCTTCATTTATTTGTCAGGTTATTACTGCTATTACATTTATAACACCAATTTTTACCTAAACTGCACAGGAAACTTGAAATCAAGATTATTGTGAGAATCTCAATCTTCAGACAGATGATTAGCTCAAAATCGTTAACCTTGGAGAGCTGGTATGAGGTTCAACCTGGGCGCTGTTTGAGCTCTGAAATTTATGTCTAAAAATCTTGTATGGTAATTTCGTATTTGTGATGATAAGTAAGGAGAAACATTGCTCACATTTGGCAGATTGTGACTTCCAGCTCAGTACCTGCCTCTCAGGACGAAAGTGAAATACTGGTAACAGCAGGAGCAGAACATGACCCTGAGATGAGCTGAGCTGGTTTGAGCATGGGCTAATAATGCCAAGGTTTGATCCCCATATGGGCCCTTAACTTAAGAGTTGGCCTTGATGATCCTTGTGGGCCCCTTCCAACTCAGAATATTCTGTGATAACTAAAAGATGTCATGACATCCATCCCACTGCAGTAGACACGAATGCCCCTAGAATTTGAACTGGAAATTTAAAGGATGTTTCTCACTCTTCAAGAAGGATGTTTATGTGGCTTTTCAGCTTAGGTGAGAAGAAGTTATGTGACAGTCTAAAGGTGGCAGAGGGGAGGCAATTGAAGATATTACAGTGATGTTCTTACCTGGGCATTTGTGACATGTAAAGGGGAGTTCCAAGTGAACTGACGTGTAATGCTCGTTTCATTTGTAGTTGGGTCAAGTCCGGTTCCTCCAGCTGCTGTCCCTGTTGCTCCTCCACCGCCGCCACCTCCTCCTCTGCCACCGCCCCCTCCCTCGGGTCTGCAGCAGAGCAGGTCTGCCATCGATCTCATTAAAGAAAGGAAAAACAAAAAAACGAACTCTGGCCAGAGTGTGGTGGAAAACGGGCCAAAGAAGTCTGAAGTACCAAACATGCTAGAAATCCTCAAAGACATGAACAGTGTGAAACTACGCTCGGTGAAAAGGTAATAAATAGAAATAAATATTAATATACCAACATTTGCATTTGTTTTTATGACTTGGAACTACCTCAAGGTGAGACGGCTGCTGATGTAATGTCTGACAAAGAGAATGCAAAAGCATTCACAAGTGGTTAAGTTTTGGACTGTGTTAATGCTTCTTATTTTCTTTTCTAGATCCTCAGAAAGTACAAAACCTAAAGTGGCTGACCCTGCAGATCCTGCAGCATTAATAGCAGAAGCTCTCAAAAAGAAATTTGCTCATCGATACCGAAGTGACAGCCAAAGCGAAACAGAAAAAGTGATTCCAAAGACTGAAACAAAGACACAGACTGAGGTAGTGCTGGTGAGTATTGTGATTCTGAACACATGCTTGGATTAAATTATAGTTGTGAAAACAAACGTATGTCTTTCTTTCTGCCAACATATGCAGTTACCCACAAGTTAGCATCCCAGTCCACAAAACCCTGTGAAGTTCTGCTGATATGCTAGGAGTTGTGGCAACCCTGTGTTTTTAGTTTCAAATCTTAGGACTGTGTGCTGTCTTGGCCCTAGGTCTAAAAAGTCCTGTTACAGTTTTGTCTTTTTTTTTTTTTAAACAAAAGTGTTTTCTGTTGCCACAAGCATGTGATACTCTGAAAACTCCATTGCTAAGGGCTCATACTGGAATCAAATATGAACTGAGTTTGCCTGTTACCACCAACCTTAACTATTCAGGCAGTGTGAGTGAAACTTTGAAGCAAGATCCTGAACCATGTCACCATTCCTGGGAATGCAGAAAGCAAATTATTCATAATGCCTGCAGGATCACGGTATAGGGAGTTTCTTCTAATAATTGGAAATGCTGAGTAAATAAAAGCAGTTTCTTAATAGTGTGAGAACATTAAAGTGAAAGTGTATTTAAAATCCACATCATGGCACAAGTTAATGACTACTGTTTCAGACTGATTTGAAACTGAAGAGGTTTTTAAGCAGTGAATGTTCAAGGAACAAGTTTCTAGCAATGTACACTTACTTAAGAAACAAGCTGGTATAGATCAGTTTTATTTGTAAGCAATCCTTGAAGCCTTGTGCTATGGAACCCTTTATAAATTTGAAAAAATGCAGATAAAACTCCAAAAGCTGGATCCCCTCTGAATGGAGTTTTAAGGAAAATAACATTCCCAAGCCACAAATCTCAGGACTTTTGAGTATTTCTGCTAATTGATGTTGACTTACTTGTCATCTGGTTTTGGCCTTTAAAGGTGTATTTCTGTAATGTTCAGGCTGGTTTTCACAACTAAAAAGCTAGATATTCCCTAGAATTAATCACTTCTTTCCCCAACATCTCTGGGGCTTTAAGGAAAAGAACAGAAATTGGCAATGTTTATTTACACAGAGGTTTCTCATGACTTTCCATTTTCAAAATTTACAGTCCACATTTTGAGATTAAGGATCAAGTTCTCAATAGCTAAGGAAATTGCAGATTTTTGTAGGATGATAGTGCATTGATCTTTAATGAGGTAATAAAATCTGTCCATCAGTTACTTACCAGTATGTACCTTCTTTGTTAGATCAAACTTGTTGATATCTTTGTGTGATCATTCTGAAAAGGACTTGCAGAAAAAGGCAAAGTAGAGTAAGAACAGAAATACTGTAAAACTGGTGCTAGAGCAGTTGGTTGTCAGCTTGTAAAGATAATTGCATCTGTCTTCTTACCTTGCTGTGGCAGAGTGAGCTGTCTCTAGTCAGAGCTGCTCCAGCAGGTCCTTACCTGCCTCATCTGAGCGATTTCAGCCAACTGCTGACACAAGTTTTCCTTTACTTTGTGAAATCCACGCACAGAGGAGCAGGATGGTAGAGAGAATTATCTCTGCCCAAGTTCTGCTTTTACTTACAGCTTGGATGGATGGTAGCTCAGCAAAGTTTCTGTTGAAAGCAATCTGAACATGTTTCTGGTTTCCTTTTCAGTTTGGGCCGCACATGCTGAAGTCCACAGGAAAAATGAAGACTTTAATTGAAAAATCCTAGTGAACTGAGATCACTGCGTGAAAGACTGTTGAGCTCCTTTCTCTGAAATACTTTATGTTGCAATTAGCACTAGTACTGAGTGGTCTCTTACAGCACAGAAAGACCCTATGTGAGGCAGAAGTGAGGCACTAAACATGTTTGTATGTGATTTGTCAAGGGGAATAAATTGGACCGTTATACTCAGGTATTAATTTTGCATTCAAGCCTGGCTTTCCACTCAGACTTACGTGGTGGGTTTAGTTTATTAACACTAAGTTATATATACAGCATTCTTTGTGCATAACTGACCATCTTAAAAATCTGTGTACATGTTAATGATGATGGTGATACACCCTTAAGTTAATATCAGTTATTTGAGCTCTACTTGTAACTTGCACTACAGTGTGTAATTTGATACTGAAATTTTCATGTTGAAGTCTTTCTTTTAAATTTAACTTAAGCAAAATGTTAGCCCAAAGAAAATCTGAAGGCACTTTGCTTCTTAGTGAAGCAAAGGAAAAACTTGAATCTGCTGCAGAGGTCAGCTAAATTTTAAGTAGTAGCACATTTTTGTGCAGGGTTGGTTGTTTCAAATGAGCTTGCAATGCTAAGAGAGCAAAACCTGCTTACGTCATGCTGTGGCCATTATAAAGAGCGCAGGACAAGTGAGTAAATCATGCTGTGGGAGCCTCTATGAATAGGTAGTCCAGTGAATTTGAAATAGCCAGTAGATAGCAGCAGAGTAAAATAGTAAGAGAGTATGTGTTAATTAGAGTAGAAACGGTGTAGGCAAGAAAATAAAGGTACAAAGTACTGTGGGGTGCAAGTTGCCAAAAGTATATCGTTGACCTCTGCTGCTCTAAGAGATGCTTGTGGACACCTTTCTCCCCAGCTGTTTTGGGTCCCTGGATACGTTTCTAGCAGCTGGGGCCTGCACACACCCTCATGGTCCTGTTTGCCGGGAAGACACGGGATAAGCCATTGCACATAACCTGTTTTCCAAGGAAAGCCCTTCTGAGGCTTCCCCAGAGCAGTTATTTGCTGCCAGACCTGCACCAGCCACCTGAGCTCATGGCTCCAGCCACAGATGAAGAAAAACCTCAAGCTAAACATACAGAAGAGCTGTTCAGGAGCTGAGAGCTACAGCTTAGTTACACAGTGAAATGAAGCCAAGCTTTGCTCTGGCCATAGATGGGAGTAGAAAAAGCTGAGCCTGGATATTTTGGTGCTCTGAGTTGATCCTGGCTCCTGGGACAAGTACAACTGCCTCTGGGAGCTTCTGTTTTCTAGGAAAAGACGAAAGCAGCACTATTTAATAAAGAGAGCTGAATGACGAGGTTACTGGAGCTCTGCTGCTTATAACTGGAATGTAGGTTGTACAGTGCAGGAGGGTGCTTTCTGGGGTGGAACTTGAAATGGTGTTAATATGTACACAATGTAACTTCCAAAATGCTCTGCCATCAGTCTTACTGACAGGCCGCTCAATCCTTGAGTTCTTTTAACTGACTTAAAACCAAAATTGACTTTCAGAAAGGTGTTTTAAAGTTTTGTATTTTATGCTCTATTGCCACTGTATAAAATTAAAAGCAGTTAAAATAAACATGGCATATTTTATTTGTGGGTACTCTAAAAAGGACAGCAGCCACAGTAAAGTATAGTTTACATTGTTACAATGACTGTAAATCAACTTCCATCTCCTCGCTGCTTATCTCGCTGTGCACCAGGAGTGAGTTAGTCTAGAAAAGCTCCACACTGTTAATTCAGTTAAAAAAAAGGGTATGAGGAACCAGTGAGAAGTTTATGCCTCATCACAAGCATAGCAGGAAGGTACTTGTTTAACCATCCCCTGGTACACGGGGTTGTCCTGGCAGTCCAGTTAAATCATTAACATGTAAAATGCAGGGTTATCACGTGACCTATTAAACTAGGCTAGAGCGTGAGAAAAGCCCACATCAGGCACTGCCTATCTGAACCGAGGTATCCAGTGCCCAGAAATAGGGTGAGCCTTATCACTGACGTAAAATTACAGAAATGCCATCTGCACAAGAAAATAAAACCACAAAGCTGACATCAAATAACTTACTTTATACTGTACCCTAATTTGTGTCTTTCTGCTTAAAGTCTTGTACACGCACAGTGCCACTGCCCACAGTAAAACACCTCAGGTGCTCAAACTAAAGCCCTCCACTCTTGCTAGGCTGAGGCCACAGACATAATGTGAGGCCTCTACGTGTCCATCTGTGAACAGTGGTGGGAGCAGATCTGTGAATTCAGACAGTGTGTGGTGGGGGCCTGGCCCCCATTCCCTCACACATGGCTGGGCTCCTGTGGGCTGTGAGTGGCCGTGGTGCTTTAGGGACCCTGCTCCTGACACGCTCCGCTCTCACATGAAACGTTCAGGCTGCAGGAATGGTGGCGCACAATGTAGATTTGTGGAAAGCATTTCTAGACAAGTCCAAAAAAAAGGCTTTTTTTTTAACTCAGTCCAGTGTCAGAACCTCCCATGTACACTAAGAGGTGGGATTAGGACCAGTCTTTCTAAATCCAGTCTGCTAGGAAAAGACGGAGGCCCCTTTCCAGGAAAGGTGGCTTAGAACAAAACTACTCATGTTTCACTCTAAGCACTTTCACAAGCTGTACTGGTTCCTGTCAGAGCAGAGGACAGCAAGATGGCACAATGTGAAAGAATCACAGGCTCTTTATAAATACTGTATTGAAATATTGCTATATACTTGTTTGTAAATCCATTAATCTTAATTTGCATTAGATATTAAAATGTCCTTATAAATAGTCTGCAATGAGTAGTAAAACTTAAAATGCAGATGAGGCTCTTTAAACCAAGTCACATTTTTTACAAACACGCATCACAGAAGACATCATCAGGTACTGATTTTAGTGGTCGTTTTGGAAACAGCTGCAATCTTGGCACATGGTTTTATTCAAAACAGTGCAATAGGAGTCAGTACTTTTCCACATTTAACCCTACAAACCCGCTTAGGCTGTAGGGAAACTTAGCTGCATCTTCTCTGTAGTAAGTTACTCACACGCAGTCCTTACCTGTGTTCTCACAGCTTCAAACACCTCTGGAAAGTGTTGCCCTTTCAGAGATAATCTGTTAACAAAGTGCTTTTCTGTTCCTTCAAGTTACAACCAAAGCTCATTGTCCCATCTGGTCCTTCTCTGCTGGAGTCAGACAACGGCAAGGACTTGCACTGACAGCGAAGGAAGGAAGTTCACGCACGTTCAACAGAATGGTTTCATTAGAAATTTATTTCTTTAAACATGGCCACTTTGAGATTAATGATACTACTTCAGGGAACATGAAAGAAGAATAAACAATTTTAGAAGGGAAACAATCAGGTAAGTCAGGATTTGCTTTTCAAACAGTAAAAGGCCAAGCTCCAAGAGGCAATAAATTTTGGCATATGAGGACTAGTATTTTCAAATCCGAAAGTTGGCTTAGTTTTACAGTGGAAGCTGACTGCAACCTTAGCTACCTTTCCACAACACTGGACTCAGTCGTGACTTAAATGTACAGGAGCGTAATGTGAAAAGATTTTGTTTTATTAATTAAAAGTTAACAGCAACAGGCACATATTAAAATGAATATGGCAAAGCCTTTACAAATGGCTTTACGCTGAAGCTCTCTCCCAAAAATGGCTGTTGCAACAAACTGTAAACAGAATTAATAAACAGTCTTTTACAATAATAACAGGGAAATACAAATGAACTAAAAGAAAGCACCAGTTTCTCAAACTAGATTACAGTTGTGCTTACTGTACTTAAAACAATGTAAAACAAATTACAAAAATGGAATGTTTTAAGTTTAAAATTAGTCCTTTAATTTTGTCCTAAAAAACATTTTCTCCTTTTCCCATCAAAAACCCATCAGCGGGTAATGTTTCAGTAGAGGGAGGAATACGTAAACAATGCACTTTTTTTTTTTATTATTTTTTTTTCAAATCAAAAACAAATTTGGTCACTTAGCTTTGTGCATAGTTTAAGGCATCTGTAGCAATTTGTTACAGTTTCCTCCCCAGTGTGGCTGTTCATGAAATTGTCACATTCTAAAAGAATAAATTAAAAAAAAAAAAAAAAGAAAAGAAAACAAATGTTGCCGTTCAAACCCTTCCCCGAGCCCTCCCGCCCTCCCCGTCCCAAACGTACTCACACACCCACACATACACACACGCTGCAGCGAAAGGGGCATTTGTACCCTTGTTCTGAAGGACACGCTTCCCATCCCACTTTATTTCAGATTGGCAAATACCCTGAGCTGATTATGGTGTTTAGACATTCCACCTTTTTCTTGCATGTGCAGTTCAAGTGTACAATAGTGAGAACAACATGCGATGTTCCCACTGCAGAATCGCAATGCAGTTCGGACGCTTCCCCCCACCCCCACCCCGCCCTTCCCAGACTCAGAAGTGTTTTGTCGCCGTTAAAAAATTGCATTCCCATATAGCACTGGAGTAAAGCTTGGCTGTGCTCTATGATGAATGCTCAGCTCCCAGTGCACAAACAAAATTATGGCAAATGGGAGGCTTTTCTGGCATCCAAAGAAACGAGAGCTGCAGTCTCAGATTTGATCTTTTTCTTTTAAAAAAAGCAAAAAACCCAAGTTAGTGGTTCCTTCACAGCCATGCGCAAAGGTTAAGTCTAGAACCGACAGTTTCAGAGTACATTTGTAAACATCAAGTCTTGCCAGAGGCAGCAGAGGATGGGCACTTCACATTTCCATATTAAAACAGGGACTGAGTGGAAGGTATGCTTTGAACACATTTATGCAAGTCTTGCTAAATTCCAAGGGAGTGGAACAATCCATCTCAAGTTTTAGATTTGAAGACCGTATTCCAAATTTCACTGAAAAACCCAAGCCACATGTGGCACAATGAAGCTTTCGTCCTGTTGCTCCAAGGCTCAGTCACTGCTGTGCTTTGCATATTCAAGGTTCCGAACGAAAACCAGCTGAGGCGGGTGCATATTGCTCTATGTTCAAATCTTGCGGCTTAAAAAATTCGGGTTCAAATGGTCTGTGTCAAAGGAAAACTTGGAAATAAATAATGCTGGCATCATTTTACCATTTTACCAAAACCTTGGGCTGGCACGTATCTCCTGTAATCCAACCGTGCAGATACCAATAGAAGAGGCAGTTTTGTCATGGGGACTGAGGTCAGGACAATCGAGGTTCCTGAGGTAATATGTCTGAGTCCATTTCCTCAAAAGTAGGGTCAACATCGTCACCACTGCCAGACTGTTCCCTCTGCACTCCCTTCCAGCTTGCCTTGTTCAGTCCCAGGTGGCCGAGCATGGTCTGTGACAGCCTGGTGTTGGAAAACCGGGCCCATTCCCCGAACAGAGGTTCCACTAAGTAGGTCATAAAACCTTCAAAAACAAGCAAACAGAGACAAATGAAAACCAGAAAACAAACCTAGAGAAAAATTAAAATATTCAACCTAAGTATTTTAAATAGAATTTGACAGCAAAAAGTAAATATCTCAAACTACTATTCTCCAATGTGCATTTAAAAATTAATTTTAATATTTAGGGCATCTTTACAAAATAATCTCTCAAAATATAAAAGATTTTACTAATCAGTCAGAACAGCAATACACTGGATTACAAATTAACTCTCTTTCTCTCACAGCAATGACCAAATAAACGAAAATATTGAGGAACATGGGGGAACTTTATAATGAATTACCCCACAGACAGTCTGAACTACACTACACAGGGGGGAAAAAATATTACTTTCACAATATTAAGCTGGCTAAAAGTACTTTAAAATATAAATTTTATAAATTCTTTAAACAAGGCCACAAAACACTAGCACACATTTATATACAGTTGTGTGTTTATATACAACTTTGTGCATATGCACATGTTCACTTATGTGTAGTGTCTATTTCCATGAACCAAAAATTCAAGGGTAAGATGACCAAAACTGAATCTGTCAATTACAGAAATGTGTGTTTTCCTAACATTCTAAATTACACCAGTGCAGCTTATTGAACACATCCGCTTTTGTGTCAATTTAAAGCATAATTAATACTGTGTTTGTGGTCAAATTTATTCTTTTCTTTACTGTGCTTTTAACTGAGACCCATTCAACCTAAATAAGCAACTTTTAGTAGAATAACTATAAAAAACATTTTACTATTTTAAATCCAACTCAAGGTAGCAAAAACTATTAACATAATGGCTGTTCACCATTCTCCATCAAATCTCTGTCCACCGCCCTCCTTAAAGGCTGCATTTGAAGGGAACACTGACATTCCAGAAAGCTACACCCAGCGAACCAGAGCCCTGTTGTGGCAATCTCGCTGCAAAAGGCACCCGAGACCACATGGCAAGGGGAAGGAACCCTCCTCTTCCAAAACAACCCCTTCAGACCAGGAAATTCTGGGCAGCAGCAGGTCAGGGAGAAGTCAGACAGCTGCTTCCCATGCTGTACCTGATCTGTGAGGAAACAGAGGGGCTCTGGTCTCCAGGACTCTTGTGAACAGTTGAAGCCAGAAGTGTTACACAGCAAATTGAAATAAAAGTGCTCTTTGTAATGAAGTGCTGCCACACACACACACACAGCAGGTACAGCCTCTA